CTCTTCATCTTGGGGTCGTGAGGTTGAGCCCCATGTTGGGTGTGGAGATCACTAAAAAAATAAATAAATAAACACTTTTAATAATAAAAAGAGGTCGGAATTTTTTTTTTTAAGTTACCTGTGAAAAGCTCTGTAATAAGATACCATCTTGGGGAACGCCTGGGAGGGTCAATCAGTTGAGCGTCTGACTCTTGATTTCGGCTCAGGTCATGGTCTCACGGTTGGTGAGATTGAGCCCCACGTCGGGCTCTGCGCTGACAGCTTGGAGCCTGCTTGGGATTCGGTCTCCTTCTTTCACTCTGCCCCTCCCCCACTCACTCTCTCCCTCAAAATAAATGAAGTTAAAAAAAAGAAGATACCCACTTGAACATCTACAAATTCTCTCTCAAAGGAGCCCAACACCGTGAAGTTTGCCTCCAGGGTTGGGAGGAGATCAGCTGACACAGTTGGCTTGCCATTAGGGGCCACAGTGTACCCCAAACAAATACAGCTTAATGCACTGAAGTGGCATTGTGTCCTGAGACACTCGCACAATGAGCGGCAAAGACAGTAGAAGCGAACGCCACCTGTCCCATGCCTCATGCTTGCTCTGGGGCACGTGATCACCAGTTGGCATGGCAGGTGGCACGAGTCACGCTTATTTCTTTAAAGCCTTATTTTTCTTTTTTCTTTTTATTATTTAAAAAATTTTAATGTTTATTTTTTTAATGTTTATATTTATTTCTTTTTTTAAAAATTTTTAAATGTTTTTTTAAAAATTTATTTCTAGGAGAGAGAGAGAGAGAGACAGGGTGAGCAGCGGAGGGTCAGAGAGAGAGGGAGTCACAGACTGAAACAGGCTCCAGGCTCTGAGCTGGCTGTCAGCACAGAGCCCGACGCGGGGCTCGAACCCACGAACCGCGAGATCATGACCTAAGCGAAAGTCGGACGCTTAACCGACTAAGCCACCCAGGCGCCCCTGTTTATATTTATTTCTGAGAAAGAGAGACAGCGTGAGCATGGAAGAGTCAGAGAGAGAGGGAGACACAGAATCTGAAGCAGGCTCCAGGCTCTGAGCTATCAGCACAGAGCCCAACATGGGGCTTGAACCCACGGACCCTGAGATCATGACCTGAGCCAAAGTTGGACGCTCAACTGACTGAGCCACCCAAGCGTCCCATTGTTAATTTATTTTTGAGAGAGAGAGAGAGAGAGAGAGAGAGAGAGAGAGAGACAGCATGAGCGGGGGAGGGGCAGAAAGCGGAGACACAGAATCCGAAGCAGGTTCCAGGCTCTGAGCTGTCAGCATAGAGCTGGACGCAGGGTTCAAACTCACTTACTGTGAGATCATGACCTAGCTGAAGTTAGATGCTTAACCAACCAAGCCACCCAGGCGCCGCTTATTTTTCTTTTTTTAATGTTTATTTATTTTTGAGAGAGAGAGAGAAAGAGAGAGCAAATGGGGGAGGGGCAGAGAAAGAGGGAGACAGAGAATCTGAAGCAGGCTCCAGGCTGTCAGCACAGAGCCCTATGCCGGGCTTGAACCCACGAATTGTGAGATCATAACCTGAGCCAAGGTTGGGTGCGTAACAACTGAGCCACCCAGGTGCCCCATAACCTTATTTCCTCCCCCAAACATATGAGGTCGACTTTGTGGGAGTTAAATGTGACTTTGAAACGCCTCTTCGGGACCGAGTGTGGCTCATCTTCCTTGGCCACGAGCATCCCCGCGTTGCCTACGTCTGTTCCTGGCAACTGGAAGAGCCCAGTGAGGTCCCCCCGGCCCGAGGACATCTGAGACTCTACCTTGGACCTGCCCTTGACTTATCCTTTTAGGCAAGGTACCTCCTCTGGCTGGATGTGTCTTCTAGGACAAGGCTTCTCACAAGGTGGCCGTGCCTGGTGAGGTCACAAGCAGTGATTCCGAAAAGCTCAGGCTAACTTTTCCCATGTCCCATTTTCTGTTTTGCTTCGTGTGTCTGATACGAGGACGTGGTGCAAGGAGGGGTATAAATAGTTACCCAGATGGACAAGTGGGAGGGGGGATGGGGCTCTCCGGCCAATCCTCCGAGATGTCCAGGCCAGATCATTTTGCAGCCTATTTTTCACAATCTAGAAAAATCTCACTGAGGTTTCGGTAGGGCAGGTGGGTTAAAGTTAGACTGCATTCATTTAAAGCGTCAGGGAGGCTAGGTTCTGTTCGGAAACGCAGGTCCTCTATTCACAAGAATGGACCTAATGCTAGCAAAGAAGGAAAACTGACGAAGATCTTCCGACCCTCAAGTTTCAAGTTCCTCCCCAGGGTCCTCCCATTTGTCGTTCTGGGATTTTTTTACCAAGTTGGAAAATGCTGGAAATGGCTGTTCGTGAGAACGGCCGTGGCACGGAAACCCAGCTAGGTGCCGAGGCGTCTATCCCCTCCTGTTCAAAAAGGAATTCCAGATTGAAGCGAAGAGTTCCTGGTAGCTGGATGTTTCCACCAATTAATCAAAACTGATTTATCCCAGGCGCCTGGGTGGCTGGGTCAGTTATGCGGCTGACTTCAGCTCAGGTCATGATCTCGAGCTCTGTTGGGTTTGAGCCTGGCGCCGGGCTCTGTGCGGACAGCTCAGAGCCTGGGGCCTACTTCGGATTCTGTGTCTCCCTCTGTCTCTGCCCCTCCCCTGCTTGCCCTCTGTCTCTCTCTCTCAAAAATAATAAATATTTAAAAAAATTTAAAAAAACAAACAAAAACTGACTTATCCTGCAACACTTATGCAGGAGGCTGAGACATCGGGAGCAAATACATGTGTGGCTGTGTCTTCAGGAGCTGAGTAAAGTGTGACAGGAATAGCAGAAGCATCTGGAACATAGAAGGGGGCCGGCTGTGCACCAGTGGGGCCCACAGCCTGCGGTTCTGGGTCCTCCGTGGCCGCAGAAAACCAGGACCGAGTGTGTGACAACAGAGGCCCCGTGGGCCTCCTGCCCGATACCCAGACTCAACGCATCCGGCTAGGTCGGTACACAGGCCAGGAACGCTGGGGCACGTGCGTCATTCACGGAGGGGTCCAGGCTCCCCGAACTTTGCGGGGGGATCGATTTGCAAGTGCTGAGATGCCGGCCATCCGTCCGATGCCTCTGTGTGCGTGCGCGCGCGCGCATGCAGACTGAGTGGCTGCAGGTGGCTGCGGGTAATCGCCTGGCGTGTCCCCCCATCGCCTGACAGCCCACGGAGGAGGCCGAGCTGTGGCTGCCGCCCTGGCTCGCGTTAAGCCCTCAGCAGAGATGGTGCGTTCTGACACGGTGGGGGGAGCCCCGCAGCAGACAAAGGGCGGTGATGGTGGAACTTCCCTGGGAGGAGGAGGAGGGAGAAGTGAAGATTCTGGAGCGCGGCCGCCTCCCTTTTCCTCTCCTGTGGGCGGGGCTGGTGCCCCAAGACACCAGGGAACAGTGGCCTCGGATGAGGCTTGGCACGCAGGGTGCACCAGGCACTGAATACACGGGTGACCCGGGTCTGCTGGAGTTCATACGGCTCTGCCGGCTCAACCTTGGCATAGCTGCCGCCTGTGGTCTCCGGGACCCACGTGCTGAGTGGGGGCGGCCCGCACGGGCGCCTGTGCTGTGCTCATCTGCATGGCCCTGGAGCACCTTGTTGGCCCTTGGGGGTGACTTTCACGGGACACTGTGCTTGCAGCCCTCTTGCTGCGAATGGGAGAGGGTGGAAGAGCCGTCGGGGGCCCCAGTCCTTTCCGGTAACTTCCAGTAACACCTGCGAGAGCAGCTCAGCTGGGGGGGCGGGGGGAGGGACGACCACGGTCCTCCACGGAATAGGGACCTGAAGCTGCTAGTCTGAACGAAGGCTTGGCATTCTGACAGAACGCCAACCATCAGTGTCCCCGAGAAAAAGTCACCGTCCGACAGAAACAAAATATATTTATTAGAAATATTACACAGTCGTACATCATACACTTCCATGTTAATAGTTACATACATCTTTGTTGGCACGTCATATCCCGACAGTGCTGGGTGTGCTCTTTCTAGAAACGAGTCCACAGATGTATCCACTGTATTCAACTAATGTAGTTAAAATTAGTGATTGGCTGAAGACACCGTAGACTTTGGCCGCAGCCTAGTGTGGGCCAGAGAATTGACACACCCAGTGCGCTCGGGCAAAGGAGAGATTTAAAAATACTTTTAAAAAAAGTTAGCTATGTCCTGTTCTTTACTGCGTGTCACCGTGGTTCACCTCAAAGCGGCACTCGAGCTTTGGGCCACGAGGAGCCATGGCTGGATTTGGCAAATAGGTTTGTGTACAAGGGCCGAGTCCTCTCCTTCCAGGGGCTTCCGCGGGCCGAGGTGCCTGCCCTCCTGCGAGAGATTCAGGGAAACGGGCCGGTTTCCTCAGATGAGTGAATATTGGTCACTGCCAGATGGCGCACTGCTTTGGGAAACTCACAACCAAAACTACGACACAACGGCTGAATGAAGAACGAAAACCAAAGGCTAACATCATTTCTGAAGTGAGAAGTAACAGAATGGAAAGGGCTCCCTCAGAATGCTCACCCCGGGGGGCAGGGGCCCGGGCACCACCATCAGGCCACCAGAGTTCACATCTGCGAAAGATGTCACAGTGAACAAAGCCATGGACTTGGCTTTAAGTCTTTAAAGAATTCCCTCACTCTTCTGGCGCTTGCATTCTGCTGCTGTCTTTTACGTAAGGATAATAGATTTAAAAAAGAAGGGGGGGATCTGCGAGACAGCCAGATAACTTTAAATGACTACCGGCTGAAGGGAGATGAGAAGCCGTGCGGCTTCTGCAGCATCTGAAAGCCTCAGGGCAGGAAACTGGAAATGGCATGATTTGCTGACACGACCTTGTTTTCTTAGCCGATCAGTCTTCCACATTCACCTTGTGCTCTGAGCTCTCCAAATAAAAATGGATCTAAAGTCCCCATCCTGTGGCCCAGCACTGGGGCCGGGGCACCTTACCCCGGTCCGAGGCTCTGCACCAGCTGGAGGGCTCCGTCCCTCTCCAAGGACCCTGCGGGGCCAGATCTGCCCCAACAACCACCATGCTCCCCTTCTGGAAGCGTACCAACTGGCAAAGAAAATGGTCGTCAAGGAGCTTCATTGAGTTATGAAAATAAATGGCACCTGCCTTTCTTTCATAGGACATTTCTTTCCTCCTTTTTCAGCTAAAGGGAGCAGGCTCCAGTGTAGGGGAAGAAGAAATGGCATAAACACTGCATAGACACTGCTTCGCCCAAGGCTGAATCATCTGACTCATTTACTGTCATCACTAAAAAACAGTTGGACACCCCCTCCAGGTATCATCGGCCTCTCCCGCACAAACCCCCCACGTAATCCCAGATTAAACACAACAACCGAGAGCTCAAGCCGATAGCCGGGACACTAACCTTTCCCCGCTGCAAGGGTGAGCAAGGCAGAGGTTCGGAGACCATGGAAATGCCTGTTATGTCAACAAAAGACAGATGCGTGGAGCGACACCGGGGATCACTTCCATTTGGATGTGCTCATCGGGAAGGAGTAAAGTAAATTTGCTCAGACTATGCCTCCATTTGAAAACTCTCGGGGTCGGCCTCCCCAAACTGCTCTAGAGCGCACCTCCATCACTGCCCTGCCCCGAGGAGCAAGAGGAAAGGCCTTCCCTCCTCTCCATGGTTGTCAGGGGAACTCTGGAAACATGTAGAAGACATCCCTGGTTCGACGGATGGGGCCGGCCAGGAGGGTGCGTCTTGAACAAGCTCCCGGGGATCCTGATCTAGGGGCGCAGAGGCGAACGGTAAGCAGGCGGAGGCCGCAGCCGAGATATACTGGAGACTGACCAGCGCTGTAACTCCCAGCGACTCGAGCACGTGGTGGTGGTGGGGCGGGGGACTGAGGTCACCTGACTACCAGCGTGGGCAACACCTCCACGAGCTACGTCGGTAATGCGCATTGACTTGCCCCCCTGGGCACCGAGGGGCTGCGGGTCGGTCCCCTCTGCGCCTGCCTGCACCCATCTGGGGAGAGCTCTCGCTGCAGCCACCAGGGGTGACAGCGGGTTGGCGGCCAGTTCATTTCCAAACGGAGCCACCCCTGCCTGCGGCTCAGAGCTCGCTTTTGCCACGCGGCTGTCAGGGGCCCCAGGAGACACTGGAGGCAGAGTCTAGAGCCGGATACTGCTTACACCTGCCGTCCGCCCGGTGCCCCAAGAAACACACCCCTCTTCAGCTTGTTGGTGCAAACACGCGGAGCCCTGGGTGGGCGCTGGCCGCTTCGCACGCAGGGGGCTTCCCGTCAGGCTGGCCCCCGGGGCTCACGTGTGCGGGCGTGACCGCGCGGGGCGGGTACAGCAGGCGGGCAGGTGCCGACCGGCCCTTTCCCGCGCGCGGGGCGGCGGCTGAGCCCGGGGCTTCGCAGCGTGACCGCGTCCCCGCACACGGACGCACTGTCCGCAGGCCGCCCCCCGGGGCCACCGCAGCAGAGCGCCCCGGGGCTGCTCTGTACGCTCGCGTGGCCCGTCTTCCACTCGAAGGCTCCAGTAGGTGACAGCGAGTCTAAATGCGCCATCCAGGTCTAGGTGTTACAACTGTTACCTAGAACGCAAGCGCCAGGTCCCCCACAAGGCAGGGCTCCAGCGTTTCTCCAGGCTGCTGGAGAGCACGTGTTTGTCTTTTTGGGTTTTGCTGGGTGTTCGTTTTTTGGAGGGGGTGGGTGGTGGCCAAGGGTAAAGTTCTTTCCAAAGGCAAAGGGAAGGAGTTTTAGCGAAGAGAAGGCCGGTGTGGAAGTGCTGTGTGTGGCGGGCTCCACGGCCCACGGGTGAGGTCGCGCCGGCGCATGTGACGGGGGATGTCGTCCCGGGTTCTCGTGGAGGGCGCCTGGGTTACAAGCGGGTGTGCACTGGCACCCAGCTCCGTTTCTTACGTGTGTGCGGGCCCCCTGGGCTGAGCGTTGAGGGTGGTGGGCGCAGCGGGGCCTGGGCAGAGTGACCGGGCGGCGGGTGGCTGCTCTGGGGACCCTCTGGGGACCCTCACGGGTTTACGTCTCGAAGTACTTGTAGATCTGGGCCACGTACTGCATCACGCTCTGCCAGTCGGGCCGGTCGGTGTAGAGCATCTCACTGAGCTCCTGCGGGTAGAAAGGAAGAGGTCATGCGGGGGCACCACAGACCACCTTCCGCAAAGGGGCTCAGACCCAGGGCCGGCGGCTGCTGCCTAGAACCTCCTCCCCCCACTCCCCCCCCCACGCATGGACAGAAGGTGTAGGCAGGTTAAAAGAAAAGCATTTTATTCCTAACCAGGAGATATTGTCCCTTTAAAAAAAAAACAACAACAAACATTAGACAGGACTTCCTGCCCCTTTTCATCTTAATAACATGACAACATTAAAAACAAAAAAACCCAAAAAACCCCCAGCTTTGCAGGGGCGCCTGGGTGGCTCAGTCAGTTTAGCGTCGGACTCGCTGCTCAGGTCATGATCTTACAGTTTCATGAGATGGAGCCCCGTGCTGTGCTGACCGCGCAGAGCCTGCTTGGGATTCTCTCTCTCCCTGTCTCTTTCTCTGCCCCTCCCCTGCTCACTCTCTCTCTCTCAAAATAAATAAACTTAAAATTTTTTTTTAAAAAAAGATTTGCAAAGAGAAAGTCACCCACAATACCATTATCATAAAACGATTTCCACCTTCCTAAGCCTTATGTGCATGTACTCCTATGTTCTCCATGCTTCCACAGAGTGGACGTACTATTGTGTGCTCTGTGCTTTTTTACTTAACACTTTCCATGCACAGTCTCACAGGCTGCTGTCACGGGAGGGAGGGAGGGCATACAGTCCATGGAACTGCTGCTTCCCCAATACACGAGGCATCGAATGCTCCACGTGGAATGTGTTCACTTCTTCAGTTACAGACTCTGTGGCAAGCATCTCTGTGGTCGGAACAGAATTCGTGGCTTGAGATGAATTCCCATGGATGGGATGACCACTAAAGTCTTGAACCAGTTGAGAATGCAACCCGTGTCTTATCAGAATCAGGCTGTCAGACCACTTAATGCTTTTGTCGTTGTTGCTTTTGTTTGTCCCTTTGTGTAATGGGCAGTCACCAAGCAGAGGAGGCCACAAAGTGACAGGCAGGAGGGCTGGGTCAAATGTTCCCGAAAAACATGTCACTAAAGGTATGAAAGCATTCATTCTGGGATTGAATTTGGATTCTCTTGTGGTCACGATGCTGTAGGCAAGGACGCCGATGGAAAGCCAGGGACATAGATGCCGTGGAAAATCAAGGTTGAACTTATTTAGCACATCTGTTCTTGGGCAGTGACAGAACTGAGGTGTGTCACCAGCCATTTATTTTCTGTTTCCACAACACCTAAGTACCTTTGACAATTCTACTTCCTGGTTATGCTACGAAGCCTCTCTCTGGTCATGGGAAAGGAGTGAAAAGGCAGCGAGTGGAACATTCCAGACAGATCTACTGAGAAAGAAAGACAAAATTTTGACAGACTACAAGGATTAAAAGGCTCCTTCTACATAAAATACTGTTGGGGGGGAGGGACTGTGCACAAGACTGGTGCATGAACAGCTAAGCTTCTCACAACAACACAGTTGTTAATACAGCAATAGTGAAAATAAGTGATCAAGAATTGAGTGTGACTTGGACACCTGGGTGGCTCAGTCCTTTAGGTGTTTGACTGGGTTTCGGCTCAAGTCATGACCTCACAGTTCGTGAAATCAAGCTAGCCCTGTTGTGGGCTCTACACTCACAGTGCAGAGCCTGCTTGGGATTCTCTCTCTCTCTCTCTCTCTCTGTTCCTCCCTCACTCGTGTTCTCTCTCTTTCAAACTAAATAATCTCTAAAAAAAAAAAAAAAAGAATTGAGTGTGACATTTAGGAGGCAGAGGAGGAGTTCTGACAAAGGAAGTCACACCTACAAACCAAGAGAAATGGCAAACCTCCCTCCCTGTGACGGCGACAAAGTGTCTTCAGTCTCAGGGCACGGGAGCCAGACCAACATGCACAGCTTTACTCAGACTATCCCACAGGCCTGAACCTAACAATAATAACATTAAAAATATTTTGGTACATTGTCAACAGTGCATCTGAACACATCTGGGGAAATAATTTAGCACATTTCAGAAGAAGGGAGTGTTCTGCCTGAACAGAAATCTAAGGAAGCCTGACATGCCTTTGAATCAGTAGCTGAAAACCTTTCAAAATCGAAAACACCAGGCTCAGATGATCTCATTGGCCAATTGTGCCAAATACTTAAGGAAGAAATAATGCCAATTCTATGCATTCCCTTCCAGGAAACAGAAGAGGAGAGAACACTTTCTCACTCATTCTGTGAAGCCAGTGTTGCACTAATACCAAACTAGACAAAGACTTTAACAAGAAAGCTATCAATTTCCCACATGAACACAGACACAAATATCCTGAACAAACATTAGCAAACTAACTCATGATCAAGTGGGGTTCATATCAGGAATGCAAGGGAGGTTAAACACCCATAAATCAACATTGTTATTATTGCCAGGCTTCATAAGGAAAATCATATGATCACATCAGATTCAGAAAAAGCATTTGCATATCAATCTTGAGATATTTGTGGGTTTGGTTCAAGAAAGCAAACACAGCATAAACAAGTCGAATGAATTTTTTGAGTTTCCAGTGCAGATAAGTTATATTTATACTACTGTAGTCTATTATGTGTGCAGTAACAGATGCTAAAAAAAAAACACTGTACGCTTGACCCTTGCACAAGTTTGAACTGTGTGGATCCACTTATTTGTGGATTTGGGGGGGATAAATACAGCATAGTACTATAAATTTTCTCTTCCTTATGGTTTTCCTGATAACATTTTTTCTTCTACTCCACTTTATGAATAGAGTATGTAACACATAAAACATGCAACATATCTATTTTTGTTTTGTTTTCAAAATATTTGTTAATCACCTGTTTATTTTTATCAGTAAGGCTTCTGGCCAACAGTAGGATGTTGGTAGTGTTTCAAAAGTTTGATAACAGAGATTTTTGACACATGGGGGGTTGGTGCCCCTAACTTCTGTGCTATTCCAAGGTCAACTGTACATACCTCAATTAACAAAATATTTTTACTGCTTAAAAAATGCCAGCTATCACCTACGCCTTCAGCAAGGTATAAATCACTGATCACAGATGACCATCTGAAATACAGTAACAATGAAAAGGCTTGAAATGTTTTGAGAATTACCAAAATGTGACACAGAGACAGGAAGTGAGCAAATGCTGTTGCAAGAATGATGTCAACAGACTTGCCTGACGGCCGGCTGCCACAAACCTCCAATCTATAAAAAGAATGCAGTCTCTGCGAAGCTCAATAAAGTGAAGCACAAATGAGGTATGCCTGTATACAAAATTCAACAAGTATTCACGATAAGAGCACCCCCCAAAAACCCTAGAAAAGTAGGAGTGTATGTCTTTTACCTAATAAAAGATACAGCGAAAACCCAAAAGCTGACATCATACTAAACGGTGAGAAACTGAACACTTTCCCAGTAAGATCAGGAGAAAAGAACAAGGCAAAGAAGCCTTCTCTCACCTTTCCTATGTGACATCGTACCAGAAGTTCTAGCTAACGCAGTAAGGCAAGAAAAAGAAACAAAAGGCATACAGATTGGAAAGGCAGGACTAAACTTGTCTTAATATTTGCAGATGACATGATAGTTATGTAGAAAACTCCAAAGAGTCTACCAAAAACCCCACTGGAACTAAAGTACAAGGTTAGCAAGATCCCAGTCAATAGCTTTCCTATGAAGTGCCAGCAACGGACAACTGAAATGTGAAGCAAAACCAAACCATTTAAATGGCGCTAAATTTTTTGAAAGGATTTATATGCAGAAAACGTGTTTATAAAACACTATATGCAAAAAACTACAAAACATTTATGAGAGAAATCAAGAAGCTCTAAATAAATGGAGAGTATTCTATGTTCACGGATCGGAAGACTATCCAATCAAAATTCTGGCAGGTTCTTTTTTGGGGGTAGATATTGACAAACTGATTCTAAAATCTGTAAAGCAAAGGAACAAGGACAACCAACGAAATTCTAAAAAGAAGAATAAAGGTGGAAGACTTGACTTCACAATTTATAAAGCTGTATTAAGACTTTTTTTGCATGTAAGCCAATTTGACAGTAAGTTATATTTAAAACAATTAAAAAAATTTTTAATGTTTATGTTTGACAGAGAGAGAGAAAAAGAGAGAGATAAACAGAGTGCAGACGGGAGAGGTGCAGAGAGAGAGGGAGACACAGAATCTGAAGCAGGCTCCAAGCTCCAAGCTGTCAGCACAGAGCCCGACGCGGGGCTCCAACTCATGAACCGTGAGATCATAACCTGAGCCGATGTCAGAAGCTTAACTGACTGAGCCACCCAGGTGCCCTTATAAAGCTGTATTAATCAGGAGACTGTGGTATTGGCCAAGTGACAAGACACTTAGATCACGTTATATGTATTTTGCCACAATAAAAATAATTGAAAAGACATGGCTTCCTGCCCTTGGGAGCTCATGGTTTTTGGGGGATGGAAAGAAGTCGTATAATCAGACACATTACAACATAACACAGCACATGCTGCGTAGTACTATGGGTAAATGGTGCTCTAGGAGCCCAAACGGTGGGCGCAGCTGTCCTGGATGGGGGGTCACGAAGCAGGTTAAGATGTGGGCTCTGGAGGCGGCCTGCCTGCTTTGACGCTTGCCTTTGCTATTCACTAACATGTGATCTTTTATGGAAGGGCACCTGCTTCAGTGTCCCTCCAGTAAGGAGCATCTGTCTTGCTTCTGAGGACTTCTGAGAGGGTTCAAAGAGTCAACATGTGGAAAATGGGTGGCATATGATAAACGTGAAAAGATAATTCTTCGGGACGCCTGGGTGGCTTAGTCGGTTAAGCGTCCGACTTTCGCTTAGGTCATGATCTCGCGGTTCGTGGGTTCGAGCCCCGCGTCGGTCCCTGTGCTGACTGCCAGCTCAGGGCCTGGAGCCTATTTCAGAGTCTGTATCTCCCTCTCTCTCTGACCCTCCCCTGCTCATGCTGTCTCTCTCTCTCCTAGAAATAAATAAAAAAAAAAAAAAAAAAAGAAAAGAAAAAATAATTCTTCATGCTATTAAACTCAAATGAACCCTGAATATCCTTTATACAGTTTATACCATGGAGCAGGCTCAGTTATGCCAACAGAATCGTTCAGATACCCTCACCAAGTCCTCACCAAGTTGTAGCGACCTCCCTCCTAGCCTCTGTGTGCAGTGACTGTCCAGGTGGCTCACGCGGTGAGCAACACCCTCACAGACTGTGTGACTCGGCGTGAGAGTCTCCCCCTCACCAGGATACAAAACATCAGCCCTCGGAGGAGACACATTCTGGCTGTCTTTCCGGTAATGGCGATGATGGCCCATGTCCTCTCTTATCTATTCCTCTGTGAGGAGTGGCTCACCCTTGTGATGTGGTGGGTTAAACTTCTATCTTACACTGTGGCTGAGAAAGAATGCACTTTTTCCCTCCGATTAATCTTACAATAGACCTTTATCAAAGACCGCTGCCAATTCTGACTGCCTCTACTTTACAAGTGTCATGCGTAATTAAGTATTATTTTTCCATCCACATCAAGATACCGAAGGGCAAATTTAATGATGTAGGAAGTTTCTGTTTTGTTGACAGGCACAAACTAGTTAAATTGCTCGCAAGCATCTCCAAATGCTTCTGAGATTAATTATTATGCTTGCATCTCCTCACAGACATCTGTACAAAGGCAGCTGTTGGCTCTGACCATTAGTTTGACAAGATAGCCTCATTCACTTCCTGGCTTTCACGAAGTTCTGTAGTAGGTCAGATAAAAAATAGGGGGAAAAGGTTAAATTAAAAAAGAAGCAAATATTAACAGGGACACGACAGAGAAAAACATTCTGTGTGTAATATCAACTTCTAACAAGTTCACATTTTTTGAGTCTTCACATTAATTATCCCTTGTTACTTGTTAGCTGTTTAGAGTTTTCGGAAGATAAATCAGATTCCTGTGACTCCATCTTGGACACACATGTACGTCCCCTCCTTTCTAAATTCTCTAGCCTTCGGTTTATATGATAGGGACATCTGTTCCTTGCAGACAGTTTTTTAGAATTTGGGGCTTGCTGGGATTCTGTGTGTGTGTGTGACTACATTTTAAACAGTGAATTCAATTTCTTTAATGGCTAAAGTTCTACTTTCTGAGTAAGTTTTGGAGAAATATTTACATTTAGTATCTGGAGAAATATGTTTACATTTCTTTGGAAAATTGTCCATTCTGATTTCAACACACTGACATAACCTTGTTCACAGTACTGAAATTTCTGTGATTGCTGTATTTCGTGTTTTTCATTTCTCAAAACTCCTTTCTTTTTTTTTTTAATTTTTTTAATGTTTTATTTATTTCTAGGAGAGAGAGAGAGAGACAGCGTGAGCAGGGGAGGGTCAGAGAGAGAGGGAATCACAAACTCTAAAACAGGCTCCAGGCTCTGAGCTGGCTGTCAGCACAGAGTCCGACGCGGGGCTTGAACCCACCAACTGCGAGATCATGACCTAAGCGAAAGTCGGACGCTTAACCGACTAAGCCACCCAGGCGCCCCTCAAAACTCCTTTCATACTCCGGTGGTTACAGAACTGTGTCTCACTGTTATTTCCACTTGGATTTTCCCCATCACTGATGAGAGTGACCATATTTTTAAATGTTTATTAGACATGCATGAGTTGCCTTTTCTAGCCTTTGATAATTTTCTACTAAGGTGTCTTTTTATTATTGGTTAGTAGAAATTATTTATAGATTTCCTGTCCTCATTTTACTTTTTATGCAGTTCCTTCCGTTATGATGTGTCTAGAGAGGTATTTAGTATTATTCATCTTGTGAGAGATTCATTGAGAATCTGTGGTCTTTCATCATTCTGGAAAAATTTCAGGCACCATTTCTTCAAATATTTTCTCTCCCACTCTTTCTTTCCTCTTCTGGAATTCCCACTGGCCATGGGACTTGGAAATTGTCTGATTTTATTTTCCATTCTTGTAAGGTCAGTGACAGACACTATCAGTTGGCTAATCTGATAGTCGTTCCCAACCTCTCTCCCTTGTAGGTTTCCAGCTAATGGAGAACATGCAGTTTACTTTCTCAAATTCCCTTACAGCCGGGGTGGCCATGTAACAGAGCACTGCCAGCTAGCTGGAGGGACTCTGGGAAGCCTTTTGATTTCCTTGTCAAAGGGGGAAGATGTGAGGCACTTGCTCTAATCCATCTCACTCCCTTTCCTGTCCTACAGGTGGGAGTGAAGTCTGGAGCTCAGCAGCCGTGTTCAGCCACAGAGGACTTGGGGACAATGAGACAACAGATTAAGATGGTAGAGTGTAGACAAAACAGACTCTGAGGTCCTTGATTGTAACACTGAGTAGTGAACCAATCCTGAAACTGCTTCTGGACTTCTCAGTAAAAAATAAAATTAACATCTTTATGGTTTAAGCAACTGTTAGTTGGGTTTTCCATTTCTTGAATTTGAATACATACTAACTAATAAATCCTATTATAGTTTCCATTTTTTATTAAAAATTTTTTAACATCATTTATTTTTGAGAGAGAGAGAGAGAGAGACAAATCATGAGCGGGGGGGTGGGGCAGAGAAAGAGGGACACACAGAGTCGGAAGCAGGCTCTAGGCTCTGAGCTGTCAGCACAGAGCCTGACACACGGCTCAAACCCACGAACTATGAGATCATGACCTAAGCCGAAGTCAGACGCTCAACCGACTGAGCCCCCCAGGCACTTCAGTATTTTCCATTTTTTAAATCTCTGGTTTATGTTCTGGATAACCTCCTTAGTTCTATTTTCCAGTCCCGTAGTTCTCTCTTCTGGTTTATCTAATCAGTTTTTCAACCTGACTGGGGTTTTTTTAATTCCTAATTTTTACTTCTACAAGTTTCATTTGAATCTTTTCCCAAATCTTTTTTTTAACAGTACTATGCTTCTTCCTTATGATTTAAAAAAAAAAATTATTTGAGAGAGAAAGATGAGCAGGGGAGGAGCAGAGAGAAGGAGAGAGAATCCCAAGCAGGCTCTGCATTCTCAGCACGGAGCCCTATGCAGGGCTCAATCTCAGGAACCATGAGATCACGACCTGAGCCGAAATGAAGAGGTGGATGCTTAACCAACTGAGCCACCCAGGCGCCCCCCTCTTTCATCTCTTTAATATGCATAAACATAGTCTTCCATCGTTTCTTTCTTATTGTTTTATTATCCCAAGTTCTGGTAGATCATCTTCTTGTTTGCTGTGTCTACTGACTAGCTCAGTGAGTTCATTTTCTTGAGTGCTTTGTAATTTCGGATTGTGAGCGTATTCTCAGTGGTCGTTATACTAGGCCAGGAGCTTCCTGCCTCACACAGAATAAACTGCAGGGGATTCCTGCAGCACAGATATTATACATTTGGACTGCAAACCTTACTTGGCCCAATTTTCTTTTCTTATAGATTTTCCTTTTTAAAAAAGAAAAGAAAGGAAAAAACCTCAAGTGGAGACAAGCCTCCTTATAACCTCTCTAGACTGGCAGGCAGAGTTTTTTATTTTCCCTTTCACTGAGAAGCTCATTCCTTTGTGAGCCTCGGTTCTGTGCATGGGTCTCAGTACTGATGTCCTGTTTATGGGAACTCAGAGCCTGGTTTCTTGTTCCTGTGTCCGCATTTAAATAACACCTATACGCATTCGGCACCCGTTTCCTGTGAGCCCTCCCCAACACCCCCGAGCCTACAGCTGATGTTGTCACAGTCTCGCTCACGCCTCATGGTTCTGGTTTTCACTTCCCTTTGAATTTATGACATCTGGTGATTTCTTTTTTTTAGACCTCAACTACGGCTTGATATTTTTAAAATTACATTTTATCAGAGTTCGAGAGGGATTTAATGCTAATTCAGGGGGCGCCTGGGTGGCTCAGTCAGTTAAGCGTCCGACTTCGGCTCAGGTCGTGATCCCACGGTTCGTGGGTTCAAGCCCTGCGTCGGGCTCTGTGCTGACAGCTCAGAGCCTGGAGCCTGCTTCAGATTCTGTGTCTCCCTCTCTCTCTGACTCTACACTGCTCACGCTGTCTCTCTTTCTCCCTCTCAGAAATAAATAAAACATTAAAAAAAAATTTTTAAATGCTAATTCAGTACACTGTGCTTCCAGAAATGACATTTATCCACAATGAATTCTTTGAAAACACTCTAAATCATATGTGGTCAGACCAACTGGATATTTTCATGTTAGGGATCATGGGCAACAAATCTTCAGCAAATGGATTTTAATGTCCTGTAAGGGACTGTGTAGTAGACAGCATAAGGTTCTTTCTTCTACAGGTAGAATAAAATATCACCAGGATACAAAATCGGCATACTTACCAGGCTGGGTTTGATGCCTACACTTTCAGCGGCTTCAAATGCCAACAAGAGATTCCTTTTCTAGGTTAAAAAGACAGAGACTAGAATTATCAACTCAAAATAGCTAGCCGTTAAAAATAAAAATAAATAGCTTTTGTTAGAAAAGAGCACTAAATGACGCTCCCATCTAGATTATCTACTATTATAAAACAGTTGGAATTTTATGCCAAATATTCAGACAATAGTTTTGGTATAAGAAAAAAAAGGCTGACAGGTTGTAATTGGTGCTAAAAATGACATTATTGATTGTTTCTATCAAAGGTTACATTCATGTTCGTTCAGTTATTTTCTACTTTGTCACGATTCATGACATACATATTCTCTGGTGTATCAACAGTTGTTTAATTAGGATGCTATGTCATTCCCCCCCGGAATTCTGAAGGCACTGTTCCGCAAATTGTAGCTTCTTTTTGAGACATTTTCTGGCTGTTCTCTGATGTTTCCTCACCTGGTAGAACTTAGAGTCACATTAGCATGCCTCCTCCCCCCCATAAATCACTGGAGAATCATTAGGATTATAGTAAAATGTAATGGTGTTAAATATAATCGAGAGAGTAACGTTTCTGTAAGTATTCACGTTTTATGTTCCCCAGTAGAATTTTGTGATTGTATGTATTTAGATTTTCAAAAAATTTTATATTTGTGGGGCTCCTGGGTGGCTCAGTCGGTTTAGCGTCTGACTTCGGCTCGGGTCATGATCTCACGGTTCGTGGGTTCGAGCCCCATGTCAGGCTCTGTGCTGACAGCTGGCTCGGAGCCTGGAGCCTGTTTCGGATTCTGTGTCTCCATCTCTCTTTGACCGCCCCCTGCTCATGCTGTCTCTCTCTCTCTCTCAGAAATAAATTACCAAAAAAAAAAAAACAAACACATTTAAAAAATTTTATATTTGTTTCCTTTTTTTGAGACTTATTTTTTTGGAGAGAGCACATGTGTGCATGAGAGGGAGAGATTTTTTTCTTAAGTTTATCTATTTATATCGAGAGAGAGAGAGAGCGAGCTAGTGAGCATGAGTTGAGAAGGAGCAAAGAGAGAGCAGGAAAGAGAATCCCAAGCAGGTTCCTCGCTGTCAGCTTGGGGGCCCAGCATGGGACTTGATCTCACGAACCATGATATCATGACCTGAGCTGAAATCAAGAAGCAGACGCTTAACGAACTGAGCTGCTCAGGTGCCCCACATTTGGATTTTCTACATATTTTTATCTGTTTTTCCATTTCCTCATGACCTCTGCCCTCTGTCCTGGGGTGCACAGCTGCTTCCTGAAGATGGAGGGCTCCGCCCTGACGCTGAAGCAGACTCTCTGCTCGAGGTACCAGGTCACGGAGAACCATTCGGACGAGACTATTCACATCCTCTCCCAGCCTGTGGTCAAGGCCTGGGAAAGCTGTTGATGTGCGGTCAGCTTGCCCAAGCCGCCAGCCCTCTTCCTCCATAATAAGGGAAATTAATGGGCAGGGGCTAGAACCCTTACACTTGATTCCGTAACATTATTCTCTGTTCTGCTGAGGAGGGCTGAAAGCCGGTTCCTGGCTTCCTTTAATTGAGCCCAAACTTGGGGCAGCCATTTCCTATTTTGTGCTAACCTTTATCCTTATTTTAAGGTCTTTTTGGTTAGTTTTGAGGAGAAGGGGATTTGTAAGCCCTGTTCACTACCAGTTTTCCAGAAGTCATGGCTTTTGATATATGATGCCAAATTGTTTTCTAGAAAATGACATGGAGCGGGGGAGGCCGGCTGGCTTAGTTGGTAGATCATGTGATTCTTCATCTCAGGGTTGTGACTTCCAGCCCCACACTGGGCGTGGAGCCTAGGACATGACATGACATGCTAAAACAAAATGCTCCACCAGTTTTCAGTTCCAGTGACAGTGTGTAAGTGTCCACTTACATAGACTATTATGACCAAGCTGCATAGATTATTATGACCAAGCACCGTTATCTAATTCCCTTTCATCACAACACTGTTACTGTGAGACGGCCACGTAGGGGGAGCAGCAGAGAGTGTGCCCAGGGCAGAAGCCAGGAAGGGCCTCCCTGGGCTTAGCTCTGCCCACACAGGCCAGAGACTGTCCAGACCCAGGACAGTAAGCCCCAGGTAGAGATCTCCGTCACTGGCCCCACTGACAGGGCGTCTCACCTGAAACGGACTGCAGAAAGCACCCCAAGTCCAAAATTTCTCCTCTCACGTTACTGTTTTGTTTCAGACACTGGCATGAAAACGCTCCTTTCTGTCACTTCTGTCACCTGAGTCTGCGTCGCCTACGCGGAAGTGTCACAGGCTGACACTCTGAAAAGAACGTGTCACTCGTAGCTCTTTAATGTCTCAGAAGACAGCCTTGTCAGAAATTCCCTATTTAACACTGACGTCAGACGTCCATGGTGTCATCATTCCATCTAGAAGGGGGTGGGGACAGATTCACACTGTCTGGACTTCCTGGGCTCTCATTAACCCCACAGTCCCGCAGGCTTCCACAATGTGACCTGGGTGCCTCCTGACCGCAGCATCCTAGATTAAGGGGGAGAAATTTGACCCTATGTGGAGAAAATCCCCATCCCTGTACCACAAGGAAGATAGGAAGTGAGTAAACTGTGGCGTCTGGCTGTTTCCAAATCTGCAGCAGGTCACCGGACAGCCGGCCGTGGCCACGTGGGCATCACAGACATTCGGAGCGAGACGATACGGTTTCATAAGGAAGCAATGCTCACGATTCAAGTGTGAAGGCAAATGCTTCTAGGGTCCTTCTTCTCTAACAGCTGTGTAGCGACTTAGGACAAAGAGCCCAGATATGTTTTGCATGACAGCAGACAGCCAGTCCGCATTTTCGGGAAGATTCCTGTTTTAGGTGGTGAGTTCCTAAGTGCTCAGACTCCTATTTACTGTAGCTCTAGTGAGGGCCTCTGATTATTGTGAGTTGTGTTATGCCCCCTCTTTACTCAATTATCTTCATCATATGACAGGGAAAAGGCAGAGACTGAAAAGTGAAGAGGGAGGGAAGAGAATGGACGTGGAGGTCACTGCTGGATGTGAGCGGCACGATCAAAGGCGGCGTGGCCCCCATGCTGCCCGGGCCCGTCTCCTCTCTGACTGCATCATCCTCATTCCCTTTGGTGGTTCATGCTCGACCTAGACAACATGCACTGGTCCTCGAGGCTGTTAGCCTTTTCTCTCTGCCTCTATGATACCGGGACTTCTAGTAAGAAATATGTATTTGCTCTTTGTCCCCAGTTCCTGGCACAGAGCTCCTAAAACCCTTATTATTTCCTACAGAAGAGCCAGAGGGGCATCTGTTGCTATGATCTTTGGTTTTTGTCCTCAGTTCCAGAAATGGCTTCAGGACAATCAAGTTGAAATAGATGTCTTTTGTTACTCATAACAAATGCCTTCCAACCACACTCGAGTTTATGCTAAAGAGGTGATTTTTCCCCAACCCCCAGATCACCTAAGGATGTCCTAGCAACCAGCCACGTGAACACAGGGTTGAACTGTTGGTCCCACATACCCCTGACCCCAACCTCAGGGAGAGGAGACAGACTGGATGTTGAGTTCAATCACAGATGGCCAGTGATTTAATCCACTGAGCCTATGTCATGAAGCTCCCACAAAACTTGAAAGGGTGGGATTCAGAAAGCACCTGGTTGGTGAATCCATCTATGTGCTGGGAGGGTGGTGCACCCCAAAGTCCAAGGCGACAGAAGCTCCTGTGTTCGGGACCCTTCTGAACCCCACCCTAAGGGTCTCCTCATCTGACTGGTGTTAGCGTCCTTCAATATCCTTTGTAATAAACCGGTAACCTAGTAAGTTCTGTGAGCCAGTCTAGCAAATTAACTAAACCCAAGGAAGGGGTCACAGGGACCTCTGACTTACAGTCGATCAATTAGAAGCACAGGTCACAATCTGGAGTTGTGACTGGGGTTTGAGGTTGGGGGGAGGCAGTCGCGGGGCCTGAGCCCTTAACCTTGGGACCCGATGCTCTCCCCAGGTGGACAGCGTCAGAATGGAGTTACGCTTTGGGACACCCAGCTGCCACTGCCTAATTGCTTGGTGTGGGAAACCCCCACATCTGTTTACATAAGCATCCGAAGTGAAACTCTGGCCGGACAGGAGATAACACAGGAGGGTGTCTCTCATTAGAGTCTCCCTGAGGACCTAGGACTGAGGCGATCTCCGTGCTCATGGCTTTAAACACCATCTATACCTGCCGTTTGACACAGTCATCATGCTCGACATGAGGCTGTTTCAATTCAATGCAATTAAAATGAAAACTTCTGTTTTCCAGTCATTTAAAGCCACATTCCATTAACAGCCCAGTTGGCTGGTGGCTACCGTACCGGACAGCACACATGTAGAACATTTCCATCACTTCTGTCCAGTCAGGCAGCACTTACCTGCTGACGGATGACTCTGGAACTCTTGAATCCAGCTCTGATCTCCCCTCCACACTCCACATTTGGTATCCAACTGCCTGCCTGGTGTTGCAAACTGCATACTTCATGAACACTTCTGACTTAATATGATTAAAAACAGAACACTTTCTTTGTTTCCCAAATGTTTAATAGTCCTGTCCGGCCTGCTTCACAGACTATAAACAAAGCACCACGCATACATTTTGTCTTGAAATTTGTATACACTCTGTGATGGTTAATTTTATGTATCCACTTGGCTAGGTCATGGTACCAGATATTTGGCCAACCATTATTCCAGATGTTTCTGTGATGGTATTTTAAAAATGAGGTTAACATTTAAATCAGCAGACTTTGGGTAAAGCAAAGGACCCACCATAGTGTGGGTGGGCCTCACCCAATCAGCTGAAGGTCTTACCAGAAAAAGACTTCTCTCCCTTCAAAGAAGAGAGACTTCTGCTAGCAAATTGCCTTCAGATTCACACTGTAGCATTCAACTTTCTTGTACACACACACACACACACACACACACACATACACACTATTAGTTCTGTTTCCCTGGAGAACTCTAATACACACTCTAAAAAAAATCACAGTCTGTTCAATTATTATCACCATCAGTGTCATGACCATTCCTTGGGCTTTATGTAAGTCCAAGTGTGGGATGATCAAAACAGAACTTTCCAGCATTTCTATTCCTCCACCCCCATCTAAAAAATGGTCTGTCAGGCTAGACACGTGGGGTCATCTCTTTTTCCTCTTGTCCTCCCCCACAACCAATCAGTTACTAAGTCCAGCTGATTCTATATCTAAGACCGACTTTGAATCTTTCTAGATCTTTCTGTTCACAACTCCACTGCCCCAGCTGCAGCTACTGCCACAGTGTGGGGTTTCTCTGTAGCGCTTCTGCAGTTTCTTTATAGAGTCACTTGTTGTAGGTCTACTCACTTGTGGACTGCCTCTCTACTTCAGAGGGCAAAGAACAGGTCTACATTGTTTACTGTTGTCTTTGCTTCTGTGCATGACGCTTGGCAAGAAATACGTACTGAGAGAATGAGTGCAGGGCCCAGAACAGCATTTGCCGAAGTACACTCTGGGGAATATGGCTTTGTAGAATGTTCTAGGTCAGGATTTGGCAAGCTATCGCCCGTGGACCAAATCTGGCCTGCAGCCTGTTTTTGTCAGTAAAGTTTTATTGGAATGCAGCATGCCCTTGCATTTCATCTACGGCTGCTCGGACACTACTGTGGCAGGTGAGTAGCTGCAACAGAGATCTGTGGACCCATCATATCTACCATCTGGCCCTTAACAGGAGTTTGCCAACTCTTGTTATAGGTAATTAAATGGAAAACAATTCTGTGGCTCTCATTTTTGCAGGGTTAAACAGAGTCACACGGGTTTCTTTAACGAAGGGCTTCTTGAAGTCCTCACCACGCTAATGAGCTCTGAGAAAGTGACATAACATACAGTTTCCCAAGCTTATGTGAGACGGGAAATCTTCGGGGGTGTTTTCTGGTTCTCTGGAAAAGACTTTGAAAATGCTGGACAGGGTCCTGAGACCCTGAAGGTGAAATTTCATCAGGGCTTTCTCTTAAAAAAAGGGTGATGGGGACTTCTCGGCAGCCACAGCAAACTGGTCTTCATGGCCTTTGTCTAGTTAATGGGGGAAGCTGAGAAGTATTTACTGAGGGTGGGATCCTAGAGCTGCGTCATACACTAGGTAGTTAGCTATGCCTGGAGTTAATATCCTGATTTCCGTCTGGACTCTCACTGGGATGAGCCGGTATGACGGGACTGCCTGTAACCAGGGGTGACCGGGCAGGTGACTTACTTTCTCCTGGCTGTTCAGCTCCTGATATGGGATGTGGGCAGGCAGGTAGGTGTGGAGCAGAGCACAGAAGGCCAAGCCATCACTCCAGCTGCTGCTGAAATTGGTGATATCGATGTTCTGTAGGGAAAAGCAACACTATTAGTCTCCAAACTGTGCAAAGTTGGAGAATGTGGATGAGGCTGTGCGAAGATAGGTATCCGCCTCTGGGATGCAGGAAGGCAAGGTAAGAAACCACCCAGGACTCCGGAAGGTCCATTAATTTGGGGACCAGAAATGGCCTGGTGTCTCGCCCAAATCCATTCACAGAGTAGCATGAAAAAGAAAAAGCCTTCTGAGCTCAAAACCCTGGGGAATTTCTGCTCAGAGACATCTTATTCTCAAATTAACCCACTCAGTTGGCTGTGGATGCCTCCCAGCATTTCCCAGATTTATTTGGTCAAGGAGGAATCATCACCACCATCATCATCATGATGTACGACCCCAATTAACAACAGGCAGACCAAGACAAAACAGGATCTTAAAAATCTATATGGCTGGTCTCGTGGCTTATTCCTGCTAACCCCCTCTTCTCCCCACAATGCAAAGGGCTTGTCAGGGGGAGAAAACCCTTTATGCTCAACAGCAGCCTTGTTAGAACATCAAATCCCCAAGAATTATGAGGTTTCCCCTCTGGAAGAGGCTGGAGCCCCAGTAGCTACTTGGTAAAGAGTGATCGGGAATCTGGGATCTGACTTTATATGGCTCGGCTCCTGGGCAGGTCCCCCGGCCCCGACAGCCCCGGGACACGTCCACCTCTTAGAGCCTCACACCTGTCACCCACCCGCCTCTTTCTCCCTGACCAGGCTCCACACTAACAGGGCTTTTCTTCTCTGGATTCCCGAAGCTCATCCCGAACGAAACGAAATGTCAGATTCTAAAGCCCGCTAACTTCCTCAACGCCTTGTTTGATCTAGTGGCTGCTTAAATGCTGAAAAAGCCCAGGACAGGGGGCCCTGCAAGGAGTGCAGACGTGTATGCATCCAGGGCCTGAGTATTAGGTCTGGGTTCTGAGCACTTGAAGAGCAATAAGAAAGAGGACTTGAGCAGGGGTGGGGCTCCTTCCTGCCGCCGGGGCCTGGGGACGCCACGGAAGTCCTCCTCCTCCCCCGGAACACCCCATCCCTGGAAGCGGGAAGCCAGCACAGTCAGCAAAGTGGGCAAAGGTGAACAGATGGCCAAGAGGCGGCTTTCCCTCCACCCAGACCACACGCAAACGGGCAGCAGCGCACTCTGACTGCCCCGGAGGCTACGCGGGGCATCTGCACCACCAGCAGCACTTCAACAGTAGAGGAAGGGCGAAGAGGGACAAGGCAGGAAGGTGAATTGCAGTAGGGGAGGGGACTTCATGGAATGCTTCCTCAAGTGTGCGTCAAAGAAGCTTCCAAGAACACATGTGGGCGGACATGTGTAATAAAATACAGTGTAACAGTTTCCCATGCGGTTTCCTGGGGGGTTTGGAAGCAAATGGCTTTTATCATTTCGTCTGAGCATTCTATCTAGATTTTCCCAGCATCAGTTCGAGCAAGCTCGGCTTTTGGGGATGACGTAGGTCAAATGCCTCATCTTACAGCCAGGGCACTGGGGCCGGAGGAGATGGTGTCACACGTCAGACACAGGGTTTACCCGGATGGCAGTGCTCCAGCAGGCCAAGTCACCATCCTCTCCCCGGCCCCCCATGGCCCTTTCTATCAAACCTCTTCTGGCTTCTAGCCAGAGTCCAGGATGACCCAGGCAGACCTAAGAACCTCCCGCCGAAGCACAGGCTTTCAGGAACGTCGGATTCTCCAGTCTGCTTTGCAGGTACATTTATGTGGGGAAGGACAGCTGGCTGAGAGCAACCCATGACGATAATAATGGCTCTCTGTCCTGGTTTTCATGACTCCAGCACAACCAAATGGAAAGAGCGGCCACGCATTGGTGTCACACACAAGTCAGAATGCCCCGTCCCAGTTTCCAGGCTGGATGTGCAACAGCTGATCGCTTGGAGTTTTGGCTTCAGAAAGTCTCTCAGGAGACCCTGGAGCTGCTTGATGGGGCCTGGATGCTGCTTCAGGAATGGGAAACACTGGATTTTATATTTTCTCAAGAGGTCTGTATGTTTAAAATAAAAAAAAAAAAGAAGAGGAGGACACGGCCGGGGGGCCGTGACCTGGCCGGTTCACTCCAAGCTCAGGCGCTCGGACAGGAAGCTGTGCGCATCGGCCCTGGGAAGTGGAAACACAGGGCCGGGCCGGGCAGCGCCAGCATCAGGGAAACCAGGCGCCCCAGCTCCTGTCAGCACGGAGCCCCCTTCCTTTCCTTGGCCCGAAGAGGTCGTCTGGGACCCCATCTCCAAACCCATCTCTCACGGTAGTGCTCTCTCTGAAAGGCGATGTTCCATATACCCTCATTTTCTGGGAAAAGAAACTGAGGCTGTAAGAAGTGGTGTTTCGGTCAGAAAGGCCACATTTGAACTAGAAAGCCAACCGTTCAATGGTCAAGATGGGAGTCCCTTACCCAGGAGCCCCGTTGGGCACAAAGCTCCCCAGATGGGGGTGGTGAGGGTGGTAACATCGATTGTCCACGATGGGCCAGTTCCTGGGCATCTGCTCATTTAATTCCCAGAAGAGCTACACGTGGCAGGGAGTGCTGTACCCCATGCCCCACTGCGCAGATGAGGAAACTGAGGCAGGAAGAAGTATCTCTGGGGCCAGAGCCAGGGCCAGACTCCAGTTCCGGGTCTGTGGTCATGCCTTGCTGCACTTCCTTCCTTCTTTCTCCCACCTTCTCTGCCTTCCTTTCTTCACCAATTTTCTTGGTGCCTAAAGCATTTAAGATTTGATAAATCTTTCATTTCCTAAAATGTGAAAACATTTGGCACACTTATCTCTTGTGCCATTTTGTGTGTGTGTGTGTGATACAAAATGTCAGTTTCCTGCATCTGCACGACCTTCAGAGGCGTTGTGAGGGGCCCAATAGAGCGGAAGGAGCGACACCGCCATCTCGTCTCATGGAACCGAGATGGCGACTGGTAGTTTAGTTAACCGGGTGCCGTGTAAGAACAGTTTTCGATCTAGAAATACAAACAAGCAACAGACTGAGACTAAAATCTGGTGAGATCACACCAGGGTTGAAAAAAGATCCATTGAGACAACCTCAGGGGAGCTCAGAGAGCCCGGATGCTTCTGGCCGGACCACAGCAGGCAGGTCTCTCTGGAAACGGGGAACACACTGTAGAGCAGACCCTGGCGCTTCAGCAGCAAGACGACTCTGACACCATATAAGTGTCTTTAAAAAGATACGGAACTATGCAAATTCCAAAGTCTAGTCAAGTTATCGAATCCAACGTCCAGGTCAGAAGATGCTTCTCTTTCATGTAACCCACACCCGCCATGTTTGAGACTCTGAGCTATTCTGACACTGGCAGACGGAAGACAACCAGGTATGATCGGTAGCACTATACTCATTCCAAGAACATGACTGTCAGGTAAAAACTTGACCCTTCTCAGGGTAAAGGGGAACGACCTCAACTCCAGTGCCGAGTGTCATCTGAAATCGTAATTCTTTTTTTTTTTTTTAATTTTTTATGTTTATTTATTTTTGAGACAGACAGACAGAGAGCACGAGCAATGGAGGGACAGAGAGAAAGGGAGACAGAATCTGAAGTAGGCTTCAGGCTCTGAGCTGTCAGCACAGAGCCTGACACAGGGCTTGAACTCACAAACCGTGAGATCATGACCTGAGCCGAAGTCAGACGCCTAACCGACCAGCCACCTAGGCGCCCCTGAAATCGGAACTCTATTTGAATGAGAGTATTGACAATTCCCAACTCAGCGCAGCTGGTGGAACAATTAAGAACAAGTGTACATTTATGATGCCTCGTGTAAGATGATGTAGAGCACCGCACAAATCTCAAGGGTTGCTATTGCCATCGTTGCTCACTGAGTTGTAGTTTGGGAAGCTCTGCGATATATTTTAGTGAGTGGGGAGTTAGCTGGTGCGCTGTGCCACGCTTCGACAGTGCTCGTGCTTTTCACGTGGAGGGCAGCTAGGCAGGGTGTGTGGGTCCCAGGGAAATGGGTTAAGACACAGAACTGTTGCAGGAACCAGGGATGGAGGACACGGCAGCCACAGGAGGAAGATGGACAGGACCCAAGCACTGGGTGACGGGCAGAAGGACAACAGCCTCTTGGGCGTGGCTGGCTGGCCAACCTGAGAAGCCCAGGAACCAAGCAAGGACTGATTCCAGGTCCTACCCCTAAATGGGGAGGGGGGTGTGAATATGAAAAGCCTATTTTTGGTTAGGGATGATCAGGATTGGCTTGGCCCGGTGGGGTGGAGGAGGTTGGGGGATGGAATGGTGGGAGCTGATTCTTGCTGAGCTGGTGCTCAATGCCCACAGATGAACCTCTAACTTAGGACAAAAACCAAGGATAATAATACAAATACACCAGGAGGTGTTGGTTAATACGGTCTCTTCCTCTTTCCAATCATCATTCAGCTGAATTCCTAGGGGTTCCTCAAAAGAATAACTAAGAGGAAAAACAGAAAGCAATCAACAAGGCATTTTAAAAATAACCAGGTATACCGTCCATCACTTTCTTTGCCATTTATTCCTGAAAAAAATTGACTAGGATTGTTATCCTTGACCGGAAGTCAGCAACAGGAAGAGAGTATACAGAGGATTCTGGGGTGCTGGCACTGCTGTGTTTCTGGACCTGGATGCTGATTATATGGGTGTTTTCATGCAAGTTCATCACACTGTATGCTTGTACGTTCTAGCTCAGTAAGAAAGTGGGGGGGGGGAGGGAGGAAGACCGACTCTGATCATCTTCAGGAACTGACTTGTGGCTGTTAAAAAGGAAGCACGCTTTCTGGATTTTATCTACTGTAAGATTTACCGGGGTGGGGGGGGGAAGCAAAGCAACAACCGAAAGAAACATGCTAATTATCTCTCCAGGGAAAATGGTTAATTACAAGGTGCAAATTATATATATATATATATATATATATATATATTATATAAATACCTTAGAGATATTTCTGAGTAGAAGAGAATTCCGGGGAAAGGAAATCTCAGACATAGACAGAGACAGAAA